TGTTAACCTGCACTGACCTGGCTAAGAGCTTTGTGGAGTTGAGGTTGGGTCTCAAGAAGCCTACTGTGAATCAGCTTATTTTTGCTTTTTCTTCTTTCTAAAAGCAAAAAATGATCTAGAGATTTTTGTCTTTCAGGCTGAGTGAAACTCTTTTTCTATTGTTATCAAGTAGATTTTGTTGCCTAGAAGTGTATGGTTGTATTCTCTTTAATTTTCTAGATAATTCATTTAAATGAAATTAAATAATTATATAACAATTTATATAGACTGGTGCATATCTGATTTGAATTATATCAGGTTTGACTGAATCTGATTTGAATCTGAATCTGATTTGAATCTGATAATTTTGTAAATTTAAAATTCAATTCAATCTGAATCTAATCAGATTAAAAATTTTAAAATTTGATTTGATCCAATTCATATTTGATTCACAGATCAATCAGATTCGAATCAAAATTGTGAACACTAATACCTGCTATAATTCTTTTACTATTGTAAAACAAAAAAATTGTTAATAAATCTAACTTTTTGGGCCATATAAGATGCTTATCAATAAATTTTCTTTAGTTAAATATAATTTCTGAAAGATATAATGAGTTATACAATATGACCAAAGGAATACATAAAAATTTAGGATTTATCATAAGTTATTATTTTCTATAAGTGAATATAAAATCAATATCAAAAGATCATAAAAAAAAATTAATATTATAGATAAATAAGTATCTTAGATAATCAGAAAGAAGAATAATATTTTAGGAAGATTGACTTCTAATAAAAAAAAGTTTCTAATAAAGATTTTCTGAAGGATATGGAGCAATTTTATTTTTTGTTTTTTATTTTTGTTTTTATATAACACAATTGTGCATTTTTAAAAATACTATTTTTATTTTATTTTTTTTTTCCTTTTATAGTTTCTTGAAATCAGTTCTTTGAAGAATAATAAATAGTACAACCTATTAATAATGATATGTAAATTAGGAGAATATTTACTCAAAATTTATTATGAAGTAAAATATTATTCTCAAGATTGTACTTAGAGGTTGAAACTTATTTGAGAAATAAAAACTATTAACAAGTGAGTTAGTATGAAATTTAGTTTAACTATAATACAATTGTCCTATACGCCTCTATTGGTTTTCTTAAATACACTATGCTAATCTGACCATAGGTAAAAAAATAAATAAATAAATAATTTTATTATTTTTTGATAATTTAATTTTTCAATAGATATATTATAGTAATATTAATTTTATTTTTTATTATTTAGGCCATTAAATTTTTTTTAAAGTAATTTAATTAAAAATTGAATTGTTTATTAATATAATTTCAAAAAATTTTAAAATTCTTTACTATATAATTTAAACAATTAAATAAAGATTTAGTAATCTTTGATAAAAAGCAATTTATTTAAAATTTTATTTTTTACTTGTTAAAATTTTCCAATTAAAATTTTTTTTTAAAAATTTTTGTTAATGCATTTAATAAAAAAATTTTATTTTTACCATTTCATAAAAAAGTATTTTAATTAATTTTAAAGACTCAAGTTTAAATGAAATTTATTATTCTTTTTTTGGATTAATTGTTGCAAGCAATATTTTTGGTAAAGTCGAATATTATATCACATAAATAGTAATTAATTACTTTTCGGGGTGTTGTTTGACTAAGAAACCACAGTGTTACCTAACCCGTCAGCATATTGTAGCTCACGGGAATTCTCATAATCATACATGTCCAGTGCAACTTCACAGCTTTCCTTGACAACCCTTTCCTGATCTTCTTTGAATTTTTTTAGTATTGGCAAACAATCTTGAGTTGCTATAGATCCTAATGCTTCAGCTGCCTCGTGACGAACCATATACAGTTCGTCTATGTTTTCTAGTGTCTTAACTAAGGCCGACACACTAGCTGGATTTTGCATTTGCCCAAATACATAAGCGATTTCATGTCTGAATAAAGCAGATGGGTCGTCTAAACCTTGAGCAAGAGCCAGGACGGCTTCATTGGTACCCAAATTGCGTAATGCAAACATTGCGCGGTAACGTTCAAATAAAGGAAGTCGGATGTCAAGAAGAATGTCGCGTAATTCGGGAATTGATTTAATATTCGTATTTGGTGGTGCGGGGTCTATTGAAGTGAATATACTAAGAAAGTTTTTAGAGTTAGGAGGAATATATCAAACGTGAATGACAATTATGCAACCATAAATAACCTTTTTATATCTTCTGAATCCTCTTTACTATTTTCGTATTTAATCTTTGCGATGGCCAATTCACATGTCTCCCGGACAACAGAGTGTTCATCGTGTAAGTATTTTTCAAGAATATTTAACGACGATGAATCTCCAATAGCTCCAAGGGCCTCAGCTGCCTTCCTCGACGGGGAAAATAAAGATATAAATTACGGAAGAAATTCGCATGATAAATTTATTAAGATATACCTCGTGTCGAACCATCGGGTCTTCTGTTTCGTCTGCTAATACGGAGCTGAGCACTGGATTCGCGTAGGGATTTTTTATTTGTCCCAGCACATAAGCAAGTTCGTGTTTGAGCAATGCCGAGTCATCCTTAAAGGCTATTTTTTGGAAGATTTGATTTCAATAAAATCTTGTTCAGAATAATATTTAATAATTTAAGACTCAAAAAAAATACCTTTTGCAAGGATGTCAATGCTTTTCTCGTTGGCAATGTTTTTCAAGGTAAAAATTGCACGAAATCGTTTATGCAAAGGTACTTGACCATCCTTATTTGTGATAATATCTTCTAAATGGTCATATGTAGAGGGATCGGTGTTAAAAGATTCGAGAGAAGTTGACGGGAAAACATCTGCCGATATCGTCATTGTTAAGGACAAAAATTCAATACCACTGCGGATCATCCGATTTATACCGCTGATCCGTGTAACAAATTCCAGTTAGCAAAACCAGACTTGACTCTTTACTTACCATTGAAGACGTACAAACCATGTCGAATACCACCACCAATAATGAAGAGAAACTCGTATGTGCTAAAAATGAAAAGGATAAAGGCAATGAATTTTTTAAAGTTGGAAACATCACAGAAGGTTGGTTTTCCTCTCGGAATGTTGTTTTCTTCAATTTTTCAGTCTTTCTAATGACTTGAACCTTTTTTAAAACAATCAGCCTTGCGGCATTATCACCAGGTAAATTATTTTTCATTATATCCTTGACTCGTTGGAAATTATCACGTGTTTTAATTGTATTCTTGAATTGGGTGTTTTATATAGGCTTTATTTTATTTAAATGGCCTTCAAAATCATAAGTCATTTGCAATATTTAGGAAAGAACAAGAGGAAGAGCCTAAAAACGATCCTCTGCAAGAAGAGATCATGAAGACCACAAGTGTGATATACAGTAACATGGCCGGTGAGTATATTAGTTATTCTGATTCACCTGTTAAATTTATATGATCACGATGATCGCTAACTTCTACCTAAATAAAAAAGCGTGTCTTATCAAAAATGGGAAATGGTCCAAAGCAATCGAGTATTCAGACAAAGTAAGATTTCGCGTCTATGCATACTTGTTCATAGAACTTGTCTAGACTGATTAATTAAATTAAAAAAAATATTTATAGGCTTTGAAAAATGACCCAGAAAACACCAAGGCTTTATACCGTCGCGTCCAGGCATTAATTAAAGATGGAAACACGACCAAGGCGCGAGAAGACTTGAAAAAATTGAAGGAAAAGAATCCGGATGGTAAGTATGGCATGTTTCTATAAATATTGCGTAATATTATAAGAAAATTGTACATGTATATGTATGCGTGTTTATAGATGCTGCGGTCAAACGTGAATGGCAAAATCTCTTGGAAAAAGAGAAAGAACAAGACAGGAAACAGCGTAAAGAATTAGGGGGGATGTTTAATCGGGCGAGAAAACAGGAGGAAAAAGAGGAAGCAAAGAAACAGCAAAACCAGGAACCCAAAATTTCAGAAATCAAAGAAGAACCCAAGATTTCAGAGATCAAAGAAGAACCCAAGATTTCAGAGATTAAAGAACCGAAAATTTATGAGATCAAAGAGGATGAACAAAAAATCACAGAGATAAGGGAATCCGAAGATGAATGAGTTCAAACGATCAAATTACACCTAAATAGTGGAAGAGATATTAGTGTTCGTTTCGCTCGGTTGGTGCAGGTAATATTGCAACATATTTACATTATGTACATTTTACATCATGATATTTATTTTCGACTATTGACTTTATACACATGTAATCTTGTAATTATTTAAGACCACAATATTAGTATGATAATAAATGACATTTGCATCCTGAAGACTCCAAACACGCATAATCATACGACAGTCAGCCTTTTTTCTTACCACGGATCTTTAATTTGATAATTATAAGTATTGTAAATAATTACTTATTAATTATTAAAATAATAACACACGATTAATTTGAATAGAATTAAAAATTAAATTTGCATGTCATAAAAATATTTCAAAAATTAATAATAACACTTCTTTATAATCTACAAAAAATTTATTTAAATTGATTAATAAATAAATATATCGTGAGTTAACGGAATCCCAATATGAAAACACGATTCATTTGAATACCATAAAGATTTGAAGAGAAATTATGTATTTTTCAGTGTTTACAAAAGTGAATTCTAAATTTGCGCAACCAATAGGTGAATTATATTGTCTACTTTTGATGCTAATTAAAATGAAATTGCGGGATAACGAAAATATGTTTTTTCAAATATTTCATCTTTTCTTAAACCCATATTTTTTCCGTTCGTAAAACAAATCTGTCTTTGATGATCCAAGATTCACAATTTTTGGACACCCATCCCTCTACAAAATTACCAGTATTGAATCAGATGAATATTATTAACACGACCTATTTGTGAAGAAAAAACTTACATCTTTCTCCTGTAAAACACACTCCTTACAATAATAAGCGTCTGATACCCCAGGAGCACCACAGATTACACAACGACCTTGGTATGATCCGTAGTTACATTCGTCACAAATTCTAAAAAAGTTACATATTAGTTATTTTCAAGAATTAAGTATAGTAGCGCGCATACACTCGAACCTACCTAACGAGGGAGTCCGGTCTCACGTATCTAAATGAAAGTGTAGGCGAACACAATATATTTTAATCTAGTAATTCAACAGAAAAACATTCACTTACGAGTCACAGATCACACATTTTCCGTCGCATTTTTCACATAGACGACCAATAGCTTCCATTAGAAAAAGAGATTAGTTAGACGGAAAATTTTAAAGAAATAAAATTAAACTCGAGCATACCAATTCCTGGCTGCTTGCGGCACATAATGAGATCTGGGTGATGTTTCGCCATTTCTAACTAGATTGTTTATGTTTATTATGATGTCAAAATTCAACGAAATACGAAATGTCGGATAAATAATTTGCGATTCACTTGCTATATTTGGATTACCACGTTACTATCAAAAGTTATATAAAATCGGGCATCACGACTATACATGCAAAATTCTAAAATTTCGATGAACCAAGAAACTGCGCAAGCATTGTTTAATCAGGGTGCATTTTTGCTTTTTCTAAATGCACCCAAAGGGCTAGAAGTAATTTTCGAAATTATATGCAGGTCTTTTCATCAAATAATAGGTTAACCTTATTTTAATATATGACAGTTTGGAATTGATTATAATTCCTGGGAGATCGGACCGAAATTTAAAGGAGTTAAATTTATTCCCCCTGGCTTACATTTTGTATATTACAGGTATATAAAAATCTTTCTTTATTCGAACCTTTACATTATGTACTTGGATGCTATTAACATTAATTTAAAATAGCACTTCAGATAAATCTAGCGTTTCTGGACTTAGGAATGGCTTTTTCAAATTTTACGAATCGCAGGAGGTTATTAAATTTATAGCATAATTAGATTTAGATTTCGAAGTGAATATGTGATAACTATGCCTACATATAGGTAGTGATTAAAGAATGGGATCCTTCGATAGAGGACATAAAGAAAGATGAAGACATGGATCCCGAACAAAATGAACGATTAAAATCAGGTAAATTTTATCAAATAAATACATCAAACAATGCCTAATCAATTCTAAACGAACTCGATTTTTTTTTTATAGACATGCGACAGTTTGATCAATTTTTGGGTGCTTATCCACTATCGCCACCAACAAATTGGCAAAAATGGGTTCACCTTACGGACTTCATAACTCCTCTGCTAATTGATGGCGTGTTACCAAACAAAGGGAGATTAAATAATGCATCTTCATCGACAGTTGATGAAGAAGAATTGCAAAATATTGGTGAATCAAACTTTAAGGAAGACACTATGATGTTTACGAAATTTGATGTGAAGAAAAGTTGGAGATCTGGTGCAGTCGGGCAGGAGATTACAAAATATAGTCAGGATAAGAGTTGGTTATTAGAAGACCTGCTCAAAAGAACTTATAGGAACGGTAGTAGAGTATAATTAATATTTATTTATTTATTATAACTACAAATTCTCACGAGATTATCTATGTTAAAGATTACAAAGATCTTTTAGGAGAAGTTCAGCTTTCTTTTGTCTGCTTACTAATAGCACAAAATTTTGCTGGATTTATACAATGGAAAAATTTAGTACAGCTTATTTGTTTATGCAAGGAAGCGATTAACACCTATGCGGACACGTTATTTTTAGATTTCCTTGGTAAGTAAAAAGATACTGTTATTTATGCGTAAAACGAAAAATATGTAGACTAGATTTTTTTTTTTTTTTTTTTTTAAGATGTTATGAAATACCAGCTAGAGGAATGTCCACAAGACTTCTTTCACGATTTGATATCCGAAAACAATTTTCTTTCGGTTGTATTAAAGGTTTGAAAATTAAGAAAATATATATATTTGATTGCGCTTTTTTACTTCAGCTTAGGCTAAATTATTTCAACATTGTCCAGACATTACATAAAAATATTATGGAATTGATGTCATCAACAGAACCTTCTTTCTCGGCAGACGCTCAACAATCGAAAAAACTTCATAATCTTAGACGCAAATTTGACAAGTTTTGCAGTTTTCTGTATCAGAGATTTCAATGGGAAATTGCTAAAGATGACTCTGAAGATGAGGAGGAGGAAGGTGAGTATGCTCCGGTTGTCGTAGAATTATCTGAAGAAAACAACGAGGTTGATTATATATCGGAATTTCCTGTCGTTTAACCCTAACCTTGCACGATATCTGATGCAAATATACCTGTATATGAAAAATATTTTTTTGTATATTTTATTACTTAATGCTTCTAAAAGATCGAGTTTGGGTTAACTTGAATCTGACTAGAATATATTCGGAGTTATTAATCATTAACGATTTACACAAATTTTGGGTTTATAAATATTTACCTTTACTCTAATGTATTGAAAGAAATATACGATTTATAAACTTTTTTTATAATGGATTTTGCTGTATATTTAAATTGCAGTAATTGACTCTAATCAGATTTTTTTGAGTGAAGATTGTTGAATTGAACAAGAATCTTTTGAAGGAGCTTTAAATTGGGTTTTCCTTTTTAGCGATTTACTATTTTCTGGAATAATATACAGTAACAAATTGTCATCAATAATCTATTAGAGTAGCAAATAATTGTTTATTAAATTTAACTTAAAATATCTTATTTAAACTTTGTTTTGTTTAATATAAACTAATTTAATAGAATTCTTATATTTTTTCAAATAATATAATTTTTTAACTAATAACAAGTTAATTATTATTATTATTATTTTTTTGTAATATCTACAATTAGATTAAACCATAATTTGTTGATTAATTGAATGCATGAGTATAATTTTATTCAAGTAGCGTAGTACACATTATAATTAAACTTTTATAATTAAATTTAATAACCTTTAAATTTGATCTTGAGAATATATTTCATTTTATAATAAATCTTGAATTACAATTTTTTTAATTTTACTTATTATTATTGATATATTATTACTATTATTTATCTTATCAAGTCATTAAAATATATAAAAATATAAAAAGAATAGATTGAAAAAAAAATTTTATATTTAAAATATATATGTATATAATAAAAAAAAAATAATAAAAGAAAGAGTTTTTTTGTTTTCTTTAAAGATTTACTTATTAAAAAAATTTTTCAATAAAAAATATTTTATTAAAAAATATATATTTTTTGATTATTTAATTCTTGATTTTTTATATACTATCTAAGAAAACTTATTATTTATTGAAAATCTTTACTTCTAAAAATATCTAGTTTTAATTTACTTTTTTTTTTTTAATACATAGTTAGGTTAACATAACATGTCTATTATATATATATTAGATATTTACAAATTATTGTGACTTTCATATACCAATTCACTTGTCATTAAGAAACTATTTCTTTAAATATAACTTAGGAAATAATATTTTATTCTTTTATTAATTTGAATAATACTTTTAATTAATAAAATCATTGCTTATAGATCATTACTGTAGATCATTCTAAATTTTGTTTATAGTTAAAAACCAAACTATCTGATTTTATAATAAACCCAATCCTTAATAATCACTATATACTTCTTTTTTTCTTTTTCTTTAATGTTTTCCAGGTTTAAATTCTCTAAAGATAATGATAATACTTTTGATCTTATTTGATTTATATTTTAGATCTATACTCTATCTTATATTTCCTTTATATTTTTCCACAATCTTCTATTTCTTTTTTTATTTTATAACTTTGATACAATAATTATTTCAGATTTTTTTTTTGAAATTTATTTGCATCTTTCGAAAAAGCTTACTGATTATACTCTATATAATTGCAAGTGGAATCTTGAGCTATTTTTTGAAATACTTTTTCAAGAAGATGATCTTATCTTCTTTCATATAATATAGATAGTATTGAAAAGATTCCTATTAAATTTCTGGATCTTTTTTAACTATTTGTCTATCCAGTTACTTATTATAGATCAGATTTCTTCTTATCTTTAACTTCTTTATTAATATATTTATAAATCTTTTCATTTGCTTTCTGTTATATATCTTTCTTAGTTTCTCTAATGACTGGGTATTCAAAAAAATATCTTAATATATCTTTTTAAGTATCTATAGAATTGAAAGTTTATTATAGGTTAAATTAATTAGAAAGTTTTTGTTTTTATTAACCATGAAAAAGTATCAAAAGTATTAGTTGAATTGAATTGATTCCAAAAGGTTAGTCAATATATAACTTTGTCATTTTGAATTTAAAGATCCTGGATTTTTTTTTGTATTATTCAGTCTATTCCAATTCTTTTCTTATTGAATATTTTGATAAAATCTCTAATATCAATATCTATTATGTATTTTCTCTATATAGCAATTATAAGAACTTTTCCTAGCTCTGGTAGCTATTGGATTCTTCCATTTAGTCTATTTAGCAAGTAAGTTTACTTAATTGTTAAATTTATTGGTTCTATAGGCTTTGACTTTCAAGATTTTCAAATTCAAATCTTTCTTCTTCATCAGGTCTTTGATTTTATTTCACATTAGTCAGTTAATAATCTTTGTCTATCTTTTTGTTGATATCTTTATTTGTGAGTAGATGGATTTTTATACTTGGACTGTAATATTGCAATCAATATAAATCATGATAGTTATATTTTGAAGAGTCATATATAGTGCAATAAGAATAGCTAATATTTTAACACTGGTTATAGATAATCAAGTGAAAGCTTCTGCTGAAAATTGCTTAATCATTTTATTTTTTTTTATTAGAATTCAAGCTAACTCTATCTTAAATTCATAATTTATTATTCCTTTTTTATAAAAGCTATCAATGCAAAAAGTAAGCCAATCAACTATATTATTTCTGTTATATATTAGAATATTTATAAGTTTGTCTCTGTATTCTTCTATTTATATAGCTTGTTCTATTAGTATATTGTCTTAATCTTTCACCTGGATCTTTATTTTTACAGATCTAATAGTTTGGTGAATTACTATTTATTGATATACAGTATGTTTATCTGTCAATCTATAGAATTTTCTAGTAGAAGGATCTGTTTTCTTTTTTTCAGATTGTTATATTTATTTAGTTGAGAAAGAAAAGGAACTTGGGATAAAACAACTTCTATTAACTGCACTGTTCTATTTGGTTGAAGATGGGTATAATTACTAACAGGATAATATACTAGCTAATATGGAATGAAATAGGATTTGTTGTTTATGAATATTGTTTTTTCTAATATATTTGTTGAAGTATTAGTGTAAACTATCCAATGTGTTTTCCTTTTATTTAAGTTTGTTGGAAATATTTCAATTTGCATATTACAAACTGTTTATTCAAATCTATATAAAGAGTTTTATAGAAGATCTTGATTCATTATTATCTTTTTATGAACTTTTTTGTATTAGGAGAGACTGGTTCCTTGCATCTGTTAAAAAGAATTTGACTTGCTCTCTATTCTTTTAAGTGTCATCATAGTAGTATTGATAAGCTGCCTAGAAATAGGATCTTATGCTTTTGTAGTGATAAAATAGCTTTTTTATATTCTTTATTATTTTATAGTATTGATTTAATGAACATGATACCTTTTTAATAATCAAATGATTTCTTTTATCTCCAACTTTAAAAGGTGATTTGTATACTTTTTGTCAGGGCCAGTATTGCAGCTATCAAATTTCCTTTAATTGATTTCTAAAAGACAATAAGATTGTCTAGAATATTATCAGGTTCTTAATATTTGATTTGGTTTTGTTTTAGTCTAATTATAGTAGCAATATTAGAGGTTTCATTATTATTGAGTTGATAGAAAAGTACAGGTATATGGTTTTCTAGTTGTATTTCTCAAATACTCTTGAGACCATATATTTCTTTATTATGGATGCAACTATTTGAGATTATTCTACAAACTAAAGCCTTGTTTTTGAATACTTTTCTAAACATGATTGTAAAATTATTGTATGTTTTTTTATTTATATATGTATGTTATATTCTATATTCTATTCTTGGGATCAGAACCTTGTTAATAATATATTGAATGTATTTTTCTGTCAACTTTTTCTTGATTATTGCTTGAATCCTTGTCTTGATTTCTGATTTTATCAAGTTGACGATATTTTGATTTTTCTATCTTAGTTCTAGTCAAATATCAAGAAATCTGACCTGATTCTCCTTATTAATTTTATAAACTATAGTATCCTTTATTTTGACTTGAACAGTTTTCAAAAACTTGAGAATTCTGATTGATAGTAAGAAGAATTGACTTTCTTGCATTAATCTGAAAGTTATTTATTATGTGGAAGTTTTTTGCTTTTTCCAAGATTATTTTTAAATCTTTTTTGAATTTGACAATCCAAATTGTGTCATCTATATACTGTAAGTAATTATTGCCTGCCTTAAAAAGAGCTTAACTTTTTTCTCAAGCTTGTTGAAATTGTATGATTATTTTCTTTTATAAAATAATTCAGATTTCTATTGTTTGAATTTTGTATAGCAATGGACATAGAAAATTTTTTATAATAATAGAAAGATTGTTTCTTTTTGATCTATACCATTCCCTGTAACTATTGAATTAGAAAGTCCATTGGAAAGAATGATACTATAACTTTTGTCTTTAAAAAGATCTATTATAAGTTTCTTAATAGTTTTAAAACTTTTAATTTGATTAATATCTTTTTCAAACATACAATATAAAGAGATATTATATCATATGCCTTGGTAGTATTTTAAAAGAGAATCCATAGTTCTTTTTTCTTTTCTTTAACTTTCTTCACAAATATTATTCAACAGATGAATAGATTCTGCCATACTTTCTTCTTGTAAACCAACAAAATTCAGACCTTTTAGAATTTTATATTGCTTGCAAATAGTTAATAATTAGTTGGTAAGGATTTTGGTAAAGCATTTTCAAGATGTTTCTAGAAAAATAATAGGTCTTGTATTGCTCAAATCCTATTTCCAAGACTTTGGTTTGGGAATGGAATAGATATTACTGCTTTTCTATTTTTTAGGTATCTGGCTTATATTTAGGACTTTATTGAAAAGAAGATATAAAGTTTCTTTTTCTTGACTCTTAAATGTTTTAGCATTTCATAATTGATGTATAAAGAGCTAGCAGTCTTATTGTTTGAGAGAAATTACAAAGTAACTTCAAGTTCTTCTACTTTGATTTCTTCTATTAATAATAAGTATCATATTGAATCGATCTATTCCTTGGGTTGATATATTTTT